GGAACCGAGTCCTCAATCTGTGAGGTCTGACGCTCTCTCCAGGTAGATGGTCTCAGAATCAAATTAGAGGCCACTTAGCTGGTGTTCCCTGCTTGCTGTGTAAGGGGCAAAAACATACATATCTGATCACAGAAGCCTTCCATGTTGATGCTTGTTGTGGTAGTGTGAGACTAGAGGAGAAACAGAGTTGGGAGAGTTTTTCCAAAACATGAGTTTCTAGCACTTGCAACCCAGAGTCAGCATCCAGGTGGCAGACCAACATCTATCAACTTGGTTTAACTTAACTATTTGGAAATAATTTTAAACTTGCTGCCAACTTGTTTTTACTCCATACCATTTCTGATTTTATTTTGGCCACTTATAAAATGGAAATAAATATTTTCTAGAACTATTCTTTTTTCAGTAGAATGCATATATGCATCTGCTCTAGAGCCTGGCACAGCAGGTGCTCAGTGGGGATCTGCAATAATCCTCTCCATACCTTCTTTCTCTTAAAGATACTTGCTTCTTGGTTCTGCACCGGGCTAGGCTAAGTAGTTGCCAGCCCGTTTTTCTGGTTCCTTTTTTGAATGAATGATTTTCACTTCCTTCTTCATTGTCTGTACAATCATCCCTTAGTATCTGAGAGAGATTTGTTCCAGGACCCTGGCACATATAAAAATCTGCAGATGCTCAAGTCATGTATACAAAATGGCATAATATTTGCATATAACCTATAATATCCTCTGTGTGTAAGGCCATTCTTGCATTGCTACAAAAAAATACCTGAGACTAGGTAATTTATAAAGAAAAGCGGTGTAATTGGCTCACAGTTCTGAAGGGCATATAGGAAGCACCACCCAGGAATCTGCTACCAGTGAGGCCTCAGGAAGCTTACAGTCACGGCTTACAACCATGGTAAGAGCAGGAAGGAGGTGGAGGGTGTCTATATGCTTTTAAATGACCAGATCTTGCAAGAACTCATCAACCAAGGGGATGGTCCAAGCCATTCATGATGGATCTTCCCCCATGATCCAAAAAGCTGCCACCAGACCCCACCTCCAATATTTGGGATGACAATTCAACATGAGATTTGGCTGGGACATCTAATCCTTATCATTCCATATACTTTAAATCATCTCTGGATTACTTATAATACTAATGTAATATAAATGCGATGTAAATAGTTATTATAATGCATTGTTTTTAAATTTGTATTATTTTCATTGTTATATTGTTTTCTGTTTTTTTCCGGGTATATATTACTGTGGTTGGTTGAATCTGCAATGTGTAAACCTCGCATACAGAGGACTGACTACAAGTGCATGTGAGCCAAGACAGTTTGGGTTGAGCCAATGCAATTATTTGGGAAAGTGCTCGACGATGGGGACAGTTTGGAATAAGAAAGGAGAATCCCTTTGAAAGCAAGGGATCTCACTGAATGAGACCAAAGAGAACTCTTAACAGTTCTCTTTATGAACTTGACTCAGATCCAAGGTAATAAATGCTAGTGCCCATTTAAACCCTTTCATCTGATGTTTCAGGAAGATCATGTACCACCAGGGAGGTTTGTTAGCCTGTGAACTGGGCCTCCACAGTCCTCCTTCCCCACTCTTCCCACCTGAGCCCCTAATGACTTTGCCTTCCGACCATCCTTCCCTCCAAATTAAATATATGTGGTCAAAGGGTATCAAAATTCCTCAAGATGTAAAACAAGGAATTGGTTATAATTTTATGTCAAAGAATGTGAAATGTATATTTAAGGACAATGTTTTGGTTATTAATTATGAATTGTTATTGACCCACTGTCACACTTCAACATAAATGCTACATTTTTCTCTATCATCTCGGAAGCTTTCATATGAAGGCTTCTTTATTCTCATGCCTAATAGCTGATTCTATAAGTACCCGCTTACATATACATTACTGCATATACAACAGTGGTCCCATAAGATTATAATACTCTTTTTCCTACACCTTTTGTATGTGTGATATGTCTAGATACACAAATATTTACTTATCATTGTTAGAATTGCCTACAGTATTTCATAGAGTAACATGCTATACAGATTTCTAGCCTAGGAGCAATAGGCTGTACCAGATGGCCTGAGTATGTGGTAGGCTATATCATCTTAGTTTGTGTAGGTGAAAGTTACAGTGTTTGCGGAATGATCGAAACATCTAACAGCACATTCTTTTTGTTTGTTTGTTGTTTTGTTTTTGAGACAGAGTTTCGCTCTTGTCACCCAGGCTGGAGTGCAATGGCATGATCTCAGCTCACTGCAACCTCTACCTCCCAGGTTCAAGTGATTATCCTGCCTCAGCCTCCTGAATTAGCTGAGACTACAGGTGCATGCCACCATACCCAGCTAAGATTTTTGTATTTTTAATAGAGATGGGGTTTTACCATGTTGGCCAGGCTGGTCTTAAACTCCTGACCTCAGGTGAGCAACCTGCCTTGCCCTCCCAAAGTTCTGGGATTACAGGCCTGAGCCACCATGCCCAGCCTAACTATCCATTCTTTGGAATGTATCTCTGTTGTTAAGTGACATATGACTATATGTATATATATTTTTTTCTCATTTGATCCCTGATATGGTTTGGCTATGTCCCCACCCAAATCTCATCTTGAATTGTAGCTCCCATAATTCCCACATGTGGTGGGAGGGACCCAGTGGGAGATAACTGAATCATGGGTGCAGTTTCCCCCATACTGTTCTCATGGTAGTCAGTAGTCTCATGGTAGTCTCATGAGATCTGATGATTTTATAAGTGGTTTCCCCTTCTGCTTGGCTCTCATTCATTCTTTGCCTTCATTGGTGAGGCCTCCCCAGGCATATGGAACTATGAGTCAATTAAACCTCTTTTTTAAATAAATTACCCAGTCTTAGGTATGTATTAGCAGCATGAGAACAAACTAAATGTAATCCCCTGTGAATGTTATGAGATAGATTATATCATCTTCATTATATAAACAAGGAAACTGAGGCATGGGTTAGTTAAGTAACATTCCCAAGGTCACACTGCAGGTAAACAGCAGATCTGGGACTGGACCAAGGAAGTCACACTCCGGAGCCCACATGTGTACGCATTGCCTGTGTTGCCCCTGCAGCACACAGTGTAAAAGAGGCATGCATGGGATACTAGGGGTCTGGTGAAATCAAATGACGTTGGCAATATTCAACCACTTTAACGTAAAAGATGTCAATTTCATATGGTAGGAATATAGTAGACACACAAGATAATAAGTCAAAAAGGGTATCCCTGGGAGATGTGGGGCTGCAGCTGAGTTTGTGACGATAAAGAGACAAAGAAAGTTTAGGGACAGTTGGTGTTGGCAGAAGCCATAGCAGGAGCACAGTTACTGGGGCATAGAAGAGCAGAGAGCAATGTGCTGGCTGGGACGTTGGGTGCTGGTTGAACAAGGGTGGGAAATGAGGGCAGGGCACAGTAGCACCGCACACCTGTAATCCCAGCACTTTGGGAGGTTGAGGTGGGTGGATTGCCTGAGACCAGCTTGGGAAACATGGAGAGACCCTAACTCTACAAAAAAAAAAAAAAAAAGAGAGAGAGAGAGAAAGAAAAACAGAAAAACTAGTGTGGTGGTATGCACCTGTAGTCTCAGCTCCTTGGTAGGCTGACATGGAACAATCACTTGAGTCCACAAGGTCAAGGCTGCAGTGAGCCATGATTGTGCCACTGCACTCCAGTTGGACAACAGAGCAAGAGACTGTCTCAAAAAATAAAATAAAATGAGGACAGAACTTGAAGCCCTTTGAGTAAACTGAGTCTGAGTCTTTCATCTGGAAACTACAGGCTCTCATTTTCTGCCCAATTTTCTTCCTGGTGCAATATATGTACTGATCCACTCAAGCTCTTCGGGACATTCTGTGTCTTCTTCCCTTCCGTAGTGTACCAGTCAAAGCACTTAGCACTTAGAAGGTGGTTAACCAATGTCTGCTGATTGGCCAGCTGACGGCTCAATACTATATTGTGGTGATGGCAATATTACATGTCAGAAAAGCCAACAGAAGGTTAACTTTATTTCAAACAGGTTGTAATATCTTCTCTGCTTTTCACTATTTTGGAGAGGGGAATGTTCTTATTTTTTTCTTTAATTAGGAAGGTCCTTTCAAGTTTTAGCAGTGGAAGCAGTCCTAAAATCAAAGGCTATATTACTGTAAGATATATATTGAAGTTCAGGTTCAACTAATTTGTCTTAAGCACTTATAGTATGTACAATACTTTCATTTAACTATGTCCGCTGAATCTTAAAAACCTGAAAAATAGACTCTACTGTCTCCATTCTTTACATAAAGAAACTGAGAAGGATGCATTAGTAGGCTTGCTCACAAATGGTGAAGTCAGAATTTGAACTTCGTTCTCTTTGTTCTTTGCCATGGTTTTTCCATTTACAAAGATGCTACTGGGAATCTATTGGTGGTAATGATGCTGGTGACGATCATGATTCAGTAGCCATAATACTAGAAATCACTGATTACCCTGTTGTGTAGCAGATAATGTCCTTAGCACTTAAAAGAATAACTTTATTTACTTTTCAGAGCCTTTTTTTAACCTTTCAGAGACTTCCCTGATGGGGAAACTGAGGCTAACAAGTGTTAAGTAACCTGGTAGGATTACATAGCTTACTCATAACAGGGCTGGCTTTTTTTTTTTTTTTCTGAGACTGAGTCTCACTCTGTCACCCAGACTGGAGTGAAGTGGCACCATCTCAGCTCCTGCAACCTCCGCCTCCTGGGTTCAAGCAATTCTCCTGCCTCAGCCTCCCAGGTAGCTGGGATTACAGGTGTGCGCCACCAGGCCCAGCTCATTTTTTAATATTTTTAGTAGAGATGGGGTTTTACCATGTCAGTCAGGCTGGTCTCAAAATCATGACCTCAAATGATCTGCTCGCCTCAGCCTCTCCCAAAATGCTGGGATTATAACATGAGCTGCTGCACCTGGGCTGGGATTTTACAAAAAATTTTTATTTTATTTTTATTTTTGTAGAGATAGGGGCCTCTCTATGTTACCCAGACTGGTCTTGAACTGCTGGGCTCAAGGCATCCTCCTGCCTCAGCCTCCCAAGGTGTGAGTCATCATGCCCAGCTACAGGCTGGGATTTTAAACCAGAGCTAGTGGCCTTTCGAATAGAGGTATCTGCCTGTTTTAGATTCCAGACCCCCACCCTTGTCCCTACCCACATCACTCCTCCTTCATCAAGAAGGAAGAGCAAAGAAAACCTTCCCTTGGAACATCAGGCAAGGCTCTCTGCTTCCTGTGTCACTATGATAACCAGCCCTAGTCAATTTCCTCACAAGGAAGCGGGGGAAGGGAAGGTCAAACAGAGCTTCCCCGGCAACATTCTGTGGGCAAACACAGGGCCAGTGTGCTCGAGCCTCTGTGTTCTCATTTAAATGAGGTGAATCACTCCTGGAATTGGAGCTGGGAAGCAGGCCATGTTCCTAAGGAGGTAAGGTTAATGGTGTTCTTGGAGAGCCCCTGGGTCACTTTGAAAATTAATCCTTTTTACTTGAGAATCTGAGCTCATAATGAGCAGATTAGAAATCAAAGGGGGGAAACAAATGGGAGTTCTTGGAGAGGGATTTTTAGAGCATTAGAACCTCCTTTTTAGGCTGACATCATCTTATCTCACCTCTCCTGCCCACCTTCTGTTGAGATCTTGTCTGTTAGAAGACTGTTGGCTGCCAAAATAATGTAGACTCCAGGAAGCTGGGGCCATGTAAGCCATTCACCACTGTTTACACAGTATCTAATATCATCCCTGACTTACAGTGGGAAACTTACTAGTTATTGATCAACTGATTGACTGATTGCAGCTATCACAAACAATTCTTTGGTTGGGACAGAATGCTTTGTTTCCAACATTTGATCATTTAAAGCAGAATGTTTTGACCTTTCTGGCAGGTGACATTTAAGCTGAGATTTGAAAGACGAGCAACAGCAAGTTATGTGAATATGGAAAAAGAGCATTGTAGGGTAAAGGAATAGCAGGTTCTGGGATCGGAAGGAGCTTAGTATGTTTGAGAAACACTCAGAGGCCTCTGTGGCTAGAGAGAAGTGGAGAATGAACAGAATGTGCAGAGGTGAGATTAGAGAGATAGGAAGGGCTAGCTCCTGCTGCAAGGGGGTGGATCTGAATTATTATGCTAAGTGTTTTGTGAAGCTATTGGAGAGTTTTAAGGGGGAAAAGTGGGGGAGAGAGGAATGTGTCATTCACTCTGTCCCTATTCCTTGGCACAAAACGGGTGCTCAGAAACTGGATGAATGAGCTGAGATAATGCATATAAAGTGCTTTTTAAACAATGAAGTACTTCAGAAATGACACTCATCATCAGTTGGAGGAGAATAAGACACTGCCCCCAATACCATTCTTTTAGATCACAAAGCTATTACAGATTCCTGGGTAATGAGGGTGGGAATCTGGAAGCACCCTATTTTTTACAGTGCCTTATTTCTGTTAAAATAATTTCAAACCACACCAACATGCATGATTGCAATAGCACTAGCCAGATTCCAGACAAAATTCCCATGAAGAATTCACTCTTGGCCACCTGAGGCAAAACAGCAAGACCAGGAAGGGAAAAAGTAATCGATTTTTCATGACCCCTGATATCTGAGACACATGGAGCTCTGATTGGTAGGAGATATATTCTAACGAGGTCATGGCTTCTGTTGACCTAATGCCCCCAGTACTGTCTTTCTTACAACTTTTCACTTGGAGACTGTGATGGCTACAGTGGTGACATGGTGAAGAATGCAACAGAAAGAGTAAACAGTGGATGATTATTGCAACCTGAGATGTAAGACATGCGAACTAAGTGGGAGGAATGAAGAAGAGAGAAGGGGTGGTAGAAACAGTGTTCCCTGGGTAAGATTTAAGGCACCTCTACGCGTTAAGTGCTTTGCCTCGCACATTATAGAAGTGAAAAAGACACAGAAGGTCTCAGAGAGCTTGAGTGGATCAATGCCTATATTGCACCAGGAATGTAATTGGGCAGAGAATCAGAAGAGCCCATAGTTTGCAGATGAAAGATTCAGACTCGGTTTACTGCAGGGGCCTTCAGGTTCTGGTCTCTGGTCTGGAGACTGTGGTGGCTGCAGTTGTGACATGGTGGAGGATGCAACAGAAAGAGTGAACAGTGGATGCTTATTGCAACTTGAGATGCAAGATGTAAGAACTGAAGTGGAAGGAACGAAGGAAGAGAGAAAGAGTGGTAGGAACAGTGTACACCAGGTAAGATTTAATGCGCTGGGTGCTGATGAGATGAGAGCTAGATACCATGTTAAATAATCCATGAATAATTTCCCACTGTATCATCAGTGGGGCAAATATTTCTCCTCTGCCCACGCTTACTACATAGCCACCAGGCTTCAGAAGTCTGGCCAACAGCAGAATGGATTCATCAGCCATTCACCAAAGGTCTGAGGGATGAGGATGAAACAGGATACAGGTGAACAATTATGGACACTAAAAAATACCCAAAAACCCAAAACTCCACTCCATGTGTTGATAGACAGACACCAAGAATGCCTAAATGTTTTCTTATCTTTAAAAAGAAGGAAATAAAAAATTAAAAACCAACAACCTGGAGTCTGAGAAACAACTTCCAAACTTAAATGAAAAGGAACATTGCACTCAAAATACAGAGAAAATACACATATTTTAAATAATTTGTTATAAGAAAGAGAAGAACATTCTACGAAGCATCTGGTACACTGCCAATAAAATTAAAGGAAACATGAACTTAGAGGGGAATGGTTAAATAAATTGAGGTACATGCATATGGCAGAATATTTTACAGCCATTATAAACCATGTTTTCAAAAACTAATGACTTAGAAACATGCTTACAACAGAATACTATATTTTAAAAGGGGGATTTAAAACCAGTGAAAACCAGAAAATCCCTATCTATGCATGAACGTTCATAGAAGTTTTGTTCGCAAAACTGAAAACAACTCAAATGTCCTTTAATACCTCAATGGTTATATAAATCCTTCTATCTATACGTTGATAAATGCGACATCCTGCATGAATCTCCAGGACATTGTACCTTGCAAAATAAGTCAATCTGATAAGATTACATACTCTTATGATTCCATTTATGTAACATTCTTGAAATGACAAAGCTATAAAGAGGAGACATATTAGTGTGTGCCAAGGTATAAAGATGGGGTGGAAATATAAAGGGGTAACATGGGGCACCTTTATGATGATGAAACAGCTCTGTATTTTGAGTGTAGTCATGATTCCATGAATCTACATATGGGCTAAAATTGCACAGCATGATACACATATATACACATGCAGTAACACATGCATGTAAAAAAATTGGTGAAAACTGAATAAGATCTGTAGTATAGAAAACACTATTTTACCATTGGTCACTTTCCTAGTTTTGATATTCTGCTAAAGTTATATGAGATGGCACCTAAGAAGCTGGGTGAAATATACATGGAACTCTATGTCATATTTTCTCAACTTCCTATAATTATTTCAAAATAAAAATTAAGAAAAATAATATATACCAAAAAATCCCAATCTTGTTTAAGAAATATAAAGAAAGAAATCCAAATTTTGACTAGAAGAAAATACTCCATTATATTAACAGTGACTTTTTTTTCTGGTTAATGGGATAATGGTCATTTTTATTTTCTTCTATGTATTTTTCTGTACTTCCAAAACTTTCTGAAGTAATATATGTTACTTTTGTAATCTGAAAAGAACTTATAAGTTCTTATTTTAAATTTTGGTGAATGAAAAAATAAACATTTAAAGGAAAAAGTATATGATAATGTTATAAAAGGGAATTGAGAAAAAAGGGACAGACAAGAAATTGACTTGCTAAGGTATGAAAACATGGCAAGGAAACATGAAATGTAATAGAAAAATTAAATCATATATTGAAATAGTACAAAACACTTTAGAAACTAAACCAATGGTATGTAGGAGAAACACAGAAACCCTGCCCAGAATTCAGAGTCAAAGATCAAAGACATGAAATAGAGACAAAATAAACGATGTGAAGAAGCAAACATAGAGATTCAGCATACCACTAGCTGGTGTTTCTAAAGAAGCTGTCCTAAAAAATAGGACAAAAGCAACAATCACAGAGACAAAATAGCAAAACACTGTCCAGATATATGGCTGACCTGAATCTGTAATTCAAATAGATACACTAAATGCCACTGTCTGAAAATATACATGATAAGATTTCAGTATTTCAAAGATCAACTTTTTATATTCTACATGTATCCAGGCAGAAAACAAACCAACTCAAAAAATGGTTTACCTAGAAAGACAAAACATTCAATTGGTCTCAGTTTTTTCCTCCATAACATCAAGCTTTGAGAAGCAAAGATGATGACCCAAGCATCTCCACCAAATTTCCAAGTTGTTATAATAATAATAATAATAATAATAAAGTAAGGAGGTAACAAGTAACAATAAGTCACTTAATAACTCATCAGTCATTACTAATTAAAACTCAGTATAACTAATATAAGACGAAAGTACCTCAATATAGTTATTTAACCATCTTAAGTCAATGGTCAACACCATATAAGGAGTTTCAGATAGACTGGACTGGGAAAATGTGGCACGTATACACCATGGAATATTATGCAGCAATCAAAAACGATGAGTTCGTGTCCATTGTAGGGACATGGATGAATCTGGAGAACATCATTCTCAGCAAACTGACCCAAGAACAGAAAATGAAATACTGCATATTCTCACTCATAGGCGGGTGATGAACAATGAGAACACATGGACAGAGGGAGGGGAGCACTACACACTGGGGTCTGTTGAGGGGAATAGGGGAGGGACAGCGAGGGGGCGGGCATTGGGAAGGGATAGCATGGGAGAAATGCCAGATGTGGGTGAAGGGGAGGAAGGCAGCAAATCACACTGCCACGTGTGTACCTATGCAACTATCTTGCATGTTCTGCACATGTACCCCAAAACCTAAAATGCAATAAAAAAGGAGTTTCATTTATTAATAAGATAAGGAAACCACTATTACTGTTATGAATTTTCTAGTACAATAGGTCATGAGAAAACCTATTGGAAGTAATGAAGTAGTAATGAAGGAAGTTCATTACTACTTCAAAAAGGTATGATTGCTTACTCAGAAACAAAATGAGCTGGAAAAAAAAATGGAAATAGTATATTCTGGAAGTGATGAGTCACAAAATCAACATGTCTACACTTTTCCTCTGTAGCACTTGATGTAAAGCCGTTAGAAAGTCTAAAACAAATCCATTCACAGTAGAAATAATCAAAATAGAAACAAAACATCCAGAACTGAAGCACAAAACACACACACACGATCTTGGCCACTGGATGAAGGTATATCAGTATCTATCTGTACATAAAGATTTGAAGAGCTCGATATGCCATTTTTCTAAATAGGAAAATTTAGTAGTAGTAAAATGTCACGTCTTCCAA